ATCCACAAAAATTTAAAAAGCCATCTCACCTCTAACACTGGAGTACAAATTTAAAGAAAATGAGAATTACACATTGCGACAGAAAGGACGGGGTGGTTGGCTCAATCACATGTGTGACCAACTGGGGGTCCTAGTAAGAGAATACAGAGACCAGCGGCAGTGAAGACAGGAGCTCAGAGCTGTCAGAGGCACACAGACAGGAGCTCAGAGCTGTCAGAGGCACACAGACAGGAGCTCAGAGCTGTCAGGGGCACAGACAGGAGCTCAGAGCTGTCAGAGGCACAGACAGGAGCTCAGAGCTGTCAGAGGCACACAGACAGGAGCTCAGAGCTGTCAGAGGCACACAGGCAGGAGCTCAGAGCTGGCAGAGGCACAGACAGGAGCTCAGAGCTGTCAGAGGCACACAGACAGGAGCTCAGAGCTGTCAGAGCCACAGACAGGAGCTCAGGGCTGTCAGAGGCACACAGACAGGAGCTCAGAGCTGGCAGAGGCACACAGACAGGAGCTCAGAGCTGTCAGGGGCACAGACAGGAGCTCAGAGCTGTCAGAGGCACACAGACAGGAGCTCAGAGCTGTCAGAGGCACAGACAGGAGCTCAGAGCTGTCAGAGGCACACAGACAGGAGCTCAGAGCTGTCAGAGGCACAGACAGGAGCTCAGAGCTGTCAGGGGCACACAGACAGGAGCTCAGAGCTGTCAGAGCCACAGACAGGAGCTCTGAGCTGTCAGAGGCACAGGCAGGAGCTCAGAGCTGTCAGAGCCACAGACAGGAGCTCAGAGCTGTCAGAGCCACAGACAGGAGCTCAGAGCTGTCAGAGGCACAGACAGGAGCTCAGAGCTGTCAGAGGCACACAGACAGGAGCTCAGGGCTGTCAGGCACACAGACAGGAGCTCAGAGCTGTCAGAGGCACAGACAGGAGCTCAGAGCTGTCAGAGGCACACAGACAAATCCAGATTGGAGAAGCACACCATGCACCGAGCAGCACGAGCAAAGGTCTCTCCACCCAGACACGTTACTGTTCACTGCCCCGTCAGGCCCAGGAGGACATTCAACTGTCTGAAAGGACGAATCATTACGACTCGTCTGACTGCAGGCTCTCCCAGCCACAGCACAAGCCAGACGGTACAATTATTACTCTCTTCAAAGCCTCAGGAAAACATCACTGCTGACGACCAATATATGCCCAGCAAAGCCACCCCTTTTAAAGCATGGAGGCGAAATGAAGGTACGTCCAGCAAACCGTACCTCGGGCAGTTTCTGAGCAGCACAATGCCACTGAAGAAAGCTGGGAGGGAAGAATACGTGCGTGGTGTACAAGATGAAAAACTGACCTTAGAATGAGATCTGGGGTGCCAGAAGGAATGGGGTGCAAGCATGGGCACCTGTGTCCATGAGCACAAGCACACACTACCCAGGCTAAACACAGTGGTTTGCAACAGGATACAAAAGGAGCAGAGAAAAATCGGGGGCGGGGGGAACACCAATGTTTACTTCAGGGAGTGTAAGAAGGGAGATCATTAAAGTATTTTAAAATATCTACATTTTCCTGGAGGGAAAACCAAGATATTGGTGATATTCAGCTTTGTTAGCTTAAAAGGCTAGGATGAATCAATGCCATATGTTACGGACAATAGGCAAGGAACGCGGCTGACGAACTCCAACAAGGGAAAGCACTAGAAGCACCTCCACGGCGCTACATTAACACTGGTGGTATCAACAGGGAATCGCTTCGTGGGTTTTCGTGCACACGGAAGATGCTCTGGTCTGATTATACCCCCAAAAGTGGATGTTAAAACTTAATCCCACACAGGAGGAGTAGAGACCTGGCAGAACCAGCCTGAATGAGGTTGGGGAACTTGAGGAAGGGGCTAGAAGGAACAAGCCAGACCCCAGGCTCTTCTGCCTTGCTCTTCCACCAGGCAAGGATGGGGACAGCAGGAAAGCGCTCACCAGACACCTAACGCTGGTGCCACGAGTCTGAATTTCCTGGGATCCCAAACCATCAAGATCCGAAACCATCAGACTTCTGTTTCTATCAAGGACCCAGTTTCAGGCACTTTCTCACAGCAATGCTAACGGGCTAAAACAGATGAATCAGAAATACAGCCAGCCACTGCGAACCTACACAAGGACACAACCTAGCTCTGTCCACTGAGGCCTGGAGGCAATGAAAGACACACCAGCGGCAGCAGGCACCTCATGTGCCCAGATGGTGATTTCCACAAACATGTCCACCCGCAGCCCCATGAAAGCAAACCTGCCACGAGGGGCCAATGTGAGTGCTGGGGCACCCAAACCAGCCAAACCGTCTGCTTGCACCAGCAGGTAACTCTCAATCAGGAGACATAAAAGGGGCACAGGAGAGCAGAGTGAGAAGGGAAATAACCAAAGTAATGAAAGAATATACAGATGAACCACTCCAATGGAAGCACAGACCAAAGCCAGGAGGTGCAGGAGGGCTCCTCCTCCCACACAGCAGTAACACGCAGGCTGGAGAACAACCACTGCAGGCTGAAACGGTAAGTCAACGTTCGAACAGGAAAGGGAATTTATGCAGTGGCAGTGCACCCACTGCCAAACCAAAGACTGCATTGATCAGCAGAGAAGTCTTTCAGCTACCAACAGAACCCACTGGCTAACACCATCGTAGCTGCTGGAACAAGCTAACCTTGGAGAGCCCCTAACACACTGTGCTCAGAAGAATGGAAATCATCTATTTGAAAATCCCTGTCTAAAATGTACAACCTGGGGCCAGAGTCATGGCCTGGCAGCTAAAGTCCTCGCCCTGGTCGTGCCGGGATCCCATATGGGAGCCGATTCTAATCCTGTTGAATCCTCTTCCCATCCAGCTCCCTGCTTGTGGCCTGGGAAAGGAGTCGAGGACGGCCCAAAGCTTTGGGACCCTGAACCTGTGTGGGAGACCCAGAAGAAGTTCCTGGCTCCTGGCTTTGGATTGACACAGCACTGGCCGTTGCGGTCACTTGGGGAGTGAATCATCGGACAGAAGATCTTCCTCTGCCTCCTCTTCTCCCTGCATATCTGACTTTCCAATAAAAATAAATATTTTTTAAAAATGTGATAATGCTAGCAATACAATATGTGAATCTGAGCAAAGAACACATAACAATTCCTTATACCCTTCCTACAGGTTTAAAATCATATCAAAAGCTACACATAAAGCACAAGATGTAACGGGAAAACAAGAAGTATTTGATACATGATCATTATCTTTAATATGTGGATATTGCATAAAGCAAACTTTAATATTCAAAGATATTACATAAAGCACAAGATGTAACTGGAAAACAAGAAGTATTTTTTCATACAGGATCGCTGTCTTTAATATTTACACATTTTATAAAGCAAACTTCAATATTCAACGATCATAGTAAGCAAAAGACGTAACTGGAAAACAAAGTGTTTTTTCACACAAGATGACTACCTTTAATATTCAAAGACACTGCATAAAGCAAGCTTTCTAAAAAAAACACCACCACTCCTAAAAATAACAGGAAAAGAATACACGCAGCCACATCTCAGAAGCTGATGAACAGCTAAGGAACACGGAAAAACACGAAGTCAACTTTACTGATGACTTTGAAACAGTCAAAGGCAGATGTGACGTTTTGCACCTGTTCTGACCATAAGTTTCTTTTTGGAAAGCATCAGCATTGGCCAGGATCCCCTAAAAAGTGGACACTCAACACATCAGCAGTGGAGTGTTAGCCGGAACCTTTCAGGAAAGCAATTTAAACTGTGAAATCAGGAGCCTTAAACAATCCACACCATTCTGTTTCTTGACACCACGTGAAAGACACTTCAACTATGGGTTCAAGTTGTCGCCATTCATGTCCTAGCTGCTCCATTCCCGCTTCGGCTCCCTGTTAGGGACTGCGAAAGGCAGTGAAGGACAGCCCAAGTGTTTGGGCCCCTGGCACCCATGTGGAACACCTTGATGAAGCCCCAGGTTTTGATCTGGCCCACTGCTGGTCACTGCAGCCATCTGGGGAGAAGACCAGCAGATGAGATTTGTCCCTGTCTCCAACCCCTCTGCCTCCCCTCCCACTAAGTTAACTTTTTCAAATAAATAAGTCCTTTTAAAAATAAGTAAAAAACTTGGGCCCGGAACGATGGCCTAGCAGCTAAAGTCCTCACCTTGAACCCACCGGGATCCCATATGGGCGCCAGTTCTAATCCCGGCTGCTCCACTTCCCACCCAGCTCCCTGCTTGTGGCCTGGGAAAAGCAGTTGAGGACGGCCCAAAGCACAGGCCGTTGCAGTCACCTGGGGAGTGAATCTTCAGATGGAAGATCTTCCTCTCTGTCTCTCCTCTTCTATATCTATCTGACTTTGTAATAAAAATAAATAAATTTAAAAAAAACAAGTAAGTAAAAAGCTATCCCCAGAAGAAACAAAACTGTTCAAAATAATTCACTGAAAGCAAAAGAAACACAGCTAAACAAACTGTAACATGCAAGATTCAGACGTTGGAAGTTGTTTCAATGGGAAATGTGATGCGAGGTGTTGATAAATTTTCAAAAATGAGGCTTTACAATGAACTTACCTACCTAAGAAAACAATTCATAAGGCTCACAGTAGAAGTGCTAACACATACACAGGACATGAGCCGAACCCCCTCCAGTCCCCACCAACTGTGCCCACCCAGGCCAGAGCTACCATTCCTTCACGGTGGCATCACTGCCAGCCACTGGTGCTCCTTCTGCGCGCCCAGTCCCATCCCATCTCATGCATGTCTCAAAATGGACTCAAGCTACTGAAGTCACTTCGAAATGGAAACCTAAGTTAAATATGAAAGTTCATCAAGTAGCAATTTCAGTTTTGTTTTCCTGTTTCAAATAAAGGCATTAAAAACAACCCCGCGGCTTTCTGAGACAACCTAGTCTCCCAAGCAGACCTGAGCCAGCAGTTAGACCCCCACATACCCGACTGTTCCTGATGGGTGCTGCTGCTGTGCGAGCCAGCAGTTAGACCCCACATACCTGACTGTACCTGATGGGTGCTGGGTGCTGCTGTGGGCGCACCTTTCCGTCAGCAGCGGCGTCTGGCAGCCTAATCAAGAGCCACTGGGGAAAACACAGCCAGCTGGGGAGCCGACCTCCGCCACAGCCCAGAGCCACACCTGACTCCAGCTCCGCCCTAGTCCCTACGGATTCCACCTTGCACTTGGCAACACGGCCTAATTAGCTGAGCGGAGCACAGCAACGCAGGCAAAAGCCAGGTGGGAGCAAGTTCGTCCTAACCATGCAGCAGGTCAGTTGTGAGGTGTGCATAAGGCAACGGTTCTCAGCCGGCGTTACGTTTGCAGCCCAGGGGACTTGTGCCAGTGTCTTTGATAGTTTTGGCTTAGGGAGGAGAGAGAGAAAGTGTTTACTGGTATCTACCAGAAGAGGTGGCTACAGTAGTGTGTGTGTGTTTACTGGTATCCATTAAAACAGGTGGCTGCAGCACTGTGTGTGTGTGTGTTTTATCTATTTGAAGAACCCAAGGACGCTGCTTAACATCCTATAGCAGCTCTCCACAGCAAAGAATTATTTAACCCCAACTGCTGACCAAGCTCAGCGTGAGAAATCCTGCCACAAACTGCTATGTCTCCTAAGGCAGAAAAGCCTCACCCCCAGCCCAGCAGCACAGGAGTCTAAGTTACTCCAAGAACGTCAACTAAACCATACATTGAAAAGTGGCAAAAAACATTCTCCCCTCCCCCGGACTCGCTCCCTTACGTATCTTACATTTCCTCCAACACCGCTTCACAGCAGAAACTAGCAGATAATACTATCAAAATGGCGCAGGAGGGAGGCACACCCACGGAGTCGATGACAAAGTCAGCTGTGCCTCTCGGCAGGGCCTCGGACCCCAAACTTATAGCCCCCAGCTTCGCTTACAGACAGAAGGACAAGCAGTCAATACTCAAAGAAAATACTGCTCCTTCCCCAGATGACTCATCCAAAACGTCACAAGACATAAAGAGCCACAGCCATACTCAGCGTGCCCCTGCACAAACAAAAAGGTGGATAAGAATTCAGTATACAAATCGGCACTGTTGTCATTGGATCACAGTCATGACGGCTAAGACACACACCACGGTAGCCCTTCCTCGATGACTTTAACAGCTTCCTGAAGCCGTGACGTCTACCTCCAGGAGGCCACCAGGTCCCATGCCTGGCTGAGGCCCAATAACCTGGGCCTGCTCCTGCAGCATCACTGAGCCTGTCTGACCCGTACGTTTGTCCTTTCAGCGGCAGCGACACTGACCACTTCCAGTGACCCACTCAGTACTGACCAGCGGCCCGTTGGACATGCGTCCATTACAGATGGACTTGTGGTGCAGAGGTCAAGGACCCCCTGGAACACCTGCTTCCAGTATCGAAGTGCCTGGGTTCGAGTTCCAGCTCAGTTCTCATTCCCCATGCGTGACAATAGGCAGCAGGTCAGGACCCAAGCAGCTAAGGCCCGCCACACACGCAGGAGCCCTGACTTGAACTCCTTGCTCCAGGTTTCAGCCTTGGAGTGGTCTAGTGAGCTTCCTGCTCACACCCCGGCAGGCCCAAGGATTTAGGGTCCTGTCACTCACACATCAGACTCAGTTCTTGGATCCCGGCTCTGGCCTGGCCCACCTCCAGCTGTTAACGGGCAGCTGGGGGAATGATCAAGCAGATGGAACATCGCTCCCTGTATCTCCCTGTCATTCTGCCTTTCAAATAAACAAATCTGAATTTGGGGGCCTGGCACTGTAGCCTAGTGGCTAACGTCCTTGCCTTGCATGTGCCAGGATCCCATATGGGCTCCAATTCATGTCCCAGCAGCCCCATTTTCCACCCAGCTCCCTGTCTGTGGCCTGGGAAAGCAGTTGAGGACGGCTCAAAGCTTTGGGACCCTGCACCTGTGTGGGGAGACCCAGATGAGACTCCTGGCTCTTGGCTTTGGATCGGCACAGCTCCAACCAATGCGGCCACCTGGGGAGTGAACTAGCTGATGGAAGTCTTTATGTCTGTCTCTCCTTCTCTCTATATATCTGATTTTCCAATAAAAACACATAAATTTTTAAAAGTCTGAATTTGGGGGCCAGCATGGTAGCATAGCAGGTAAAGCTGTCACATACAACAGAGATATCCCACATGGGCACCAGTCCACGTCGCGACAGCTCCACTACCAATCCAGTTCCCTACCAGTGCCTGTGAAAGCAATGGAAGATGATCCAAGTGCTTGGACTCCGTACCCATGTAGGGGACCAGAAGACCCACCCACATGCTACATCTTAACACTGGGTTCAAGTCCCAGCTCCTCTGGTCCTGTTCCAGTGTCCTGCTAACGTGCAGCAACAACTCAAGCACTGTGGTTGTGCCACCCAAATGGGAGCTTTGCATGGAGTCCTGGGCTCCTGACTTGAGCCCGGCTCAGCCTGATGGCTGTGAGCATTTGACAGTGGGCCAGTAGACAGGAGCTCTCATGTACTGTCTCGCATATGAACAATCTTTTTAAACAGATGAAGGTAGGAAGGGTGTCACAAGGCGATGAATGTGAGTTGCCACTAGACCCTGAAAAGGGACAGACATCTGACAAGCAAACACAGACCTCATTCCTACAGCACAGAGAACCAACTCTGCCAACAGCCTCAAAGACCCAAGGAGCAGACTCATCTTCAGAGCTCACCGAGACAGGGCAATCCCAAGGACGACCTGAAGTCAGGCTCCCGGCTGGACATAGCACCCCTCTGACCTGCAGACAAGGAACGTGTGTTGGCTTACATGGTCACCTGTTACACAGCATTAAAAAAAAAAAAAAACCACACTCTCAGGAAAGCTAAGGATGCGCTACCTGGGGCCAGTGACACGGCTCAACGGGCTTCCACCTTCAAGCACTGACATCCCATACAGGTGCCAGTTCGTGTCCCAGCTGCTCCACTGATCCAGCTCTCTGCTTACTGGTCTGAGGACGGCCCCTGTTCTAGGCCCCTGTACCCACGTGGGACACAAGGTGAAAGTGAAAGAAGCTCCTGGCTTTGGCTCGACTCAGCTCCAGCTGTTGCGGCCACTTGGGGAGTGAAGTGACACATGGAAGATCTTTCTATTTCTCTATGTCTTCCCAATAAAAATAAATAAATCTTCAGAAAAAATAAATCCATTACTGTATAACGCAACAGTTCCACACCTAACTCTACCTAAAAACTCTGGCTTGTCTGAACCAGAACACAAGCAAAGAACACGCCTATCACCTGGGGGTGCGGGAAGGCGACAACCCACTCATTCATCAAGGGTGCAAAGGACAAACTGGAATGTTCACACAGTGCAACACAACACAGCAATTAAACAGCAAGGAACTCCATTGGCTGATTCTTAAAGTCTTATGTAGTTATTAAGCTCGATAATACATCGGGTTAAGCCTGCATTTACAATCCTGGGATCCCAAGTAGGATCACCAGTTTAAGTTCAGCTGTTCTACTGTTAATAACGCCTGGAAGATGGTGGAAGATGACCCAAATCCTTCATCTCCTGCCATCCTGGTGGGAGACCTAAATGGAGCTCCTGGCTCCTGGCTCTGGCCTGGCCCAGTCTGGCAAGTTCCCATCTGGGGAGTGAACCGGCTGATGAACATAGGAGCCAGCACTGCTGCTGCTGATGCATTTGAGAAAAGCAGTGGCAGACATTCCGAGTGCCTGGGTCCCTGGCAACCAAGTGGGAGGTCCAGATGAAACTCCTGGCTTCGTATGACCCATTGCTGACTGGTACAGCCAGCTGGGGAGTGAGCCAGCAGAGGGAAGATCTCTCCGTTACTCTCAAAACAAGTGAATCTTTGGGTAGTACTTACTTCTGGGGGGACGTAGGGAGATGAGATCCGAGTGGAGTCCCCAGCACAGAAGGTAATGTAAGGTTGTTCCTACTGGCGACTAAATAACATTATTTACATTCTATGCATGTCTTATAAACACTGTAACATCTCTCCAAGATTTGAAAGATCTTATCAACACAATTAATGTGACCAAAAAGGGGGAAGTTTTTTTTTTTTTTTTACCACTGCAAACACTAATTCAAATTATGCGGACACAGCCAATCATTTTTAATCATATAACGCATGGATTCCGTGCCTTTTTCCACTCAGTGGGTCTTCAAGGCCCATCTAGGCCGCAGTATGTATCAGTTCTGCAAACCCCTTTCACACTTGAATATTCCACAGTAGGGGTGAGCTACATTTTACTTGTCCTCCATCAGCTGATACTCATTTGAGTTGCTTCTACCTTGGGGGTGTTATGCACACCAATGCTGTGAACATGCATGCACAAGTTTTGGGGTGGGTTCACGTCATCACTTCTCTCAAGTACCTGAGCGTGAACCTGAGTGTCACGTGGTAACCCTGTAGTTGGGCATTTGAGAAAGTGCCAGACTATTTCTCAGAATACCAGTCCCAAGGTACAAAGATTAATTTTTTAAAAAGGCATATTTATTTTGAAAGAATTACAGACAGACCATGCATTCGTTCATCAGCTGGTTCATTAGACAGACCAGCACCAGGCCAGGCAGAAGTCAGGAGCCTCAGCTGGGTTTCCCACACAGGTGGCATGGATTCAAGCACTGCGGCCATCTTCCACTGCTTTCCCGAGCCACTGGCAAGGAGTTGGACCAGAAGTGAGGTAGCTGTGCAAAGAACCAGTACCCGTACAGGACTGGCAGCACTGAAGGCGGGTACCCACCTCCTCTCCCCATCCAAGTTGTGCAAATGTCACAACACTCGCAACTACTTCTGTTTCTAACTAGGTAAGGGTCATCTTGATGTGTGTAAACCAGACATTTCATTATGGTTTTGACTTCCATTTCCCTGGTGGCTAATGTCTAATATCTCCATTGATATAGACAGATTTTTCATCTGCTGGCCCACTCCCTAAATGCCTGCAACAGGCAGCGGTGGGCTTCAGCCATTAGTCAGGTCTCTGACACAGGCAGCAGGGCCTCAACCCCTAAAGCCACTGCAGGCAGCTGCCTGCCCGGATGCATATTATTTTTTGTGCCTACTGGCCACTTACATGTTTTGTCCAAGAAGCATCTATTCAAATCCTTTGCCCATTTCTAAATTAGGTTCTTATTCTCATTGCTGTGGAGGTACAACAGTTCTTTATGTACTCTCCTCTCTGTACATCTGCCTTTCAAATAAAAATAATAAATCTTGAAAAAACACTTAAACCAATCACACACCCGGAGAACAGGCAAGATTGAAAACTATCTCCTACAAAGAAAAAAATACACGTACATGCCAATCCGAGACTCGGACTACTTTTAGAAATCTTGGAAACGTTTCATCCGCTTTGATATTTGAAACTATTTGCCATCAAATACATAAACCTAAACTATATGCACTGGGATAGAAACAGAATTATTTTTATTTACTTTTTTTTTTTTCATCTGTTTGAAAGACTGCTCTCCCACCTGCTGGTTCACTGCCCAAATTTTCACAACAGCTGAATCCAGACCAAGCTGACAAGGAAATGCCAGTCTCCCATGTGGGTGGCAGAGACTTGTCGTCTCCAGGGCGACATGAGCAGCTGCCAGCTGGAGTCAGGAACCAAACCCAAGCCCATCAGTGGCAGCTCACCTGCCGCCCTGAGCGCCTGGCACAGAAACAGAACTTACACAGTGCGGGCAAACAGTAAAAGGACCACAGGGAGAGAGGAACTGCTCTCAGGAACTACTACCAACAAGGAGGGTTTCTTTCTTTTCTTTTTTAAGATTTATTTATTTTCATTGGAAAGTCAGATTTACAGAGGAGAAGGAGAGGCAGAGATCTTCCGTCCTCTGCTTCACTCCCCAAGTAGCCGCAGCAGCCAGAGCTGAGCTGATCCGAAACCAGGCACCAGGAGCTTCTTCAGGTCTCCCCCACGCGGATGCAGGGTCCCAAGACTTTACGCCATCCTCGACTGCCCTCCCAAGCCATAAACAGGGAGCAGAATGGGAAGTGGTGCAGCCGGGACACGAACCAATGCCCACATGGGATCATGGCCCAAGCAAGGCAAGGAGTAAGTCAGCCAGTAGGCTTCTCAGCCTGCCAAGGAGGATTTCTTTACTCCTTCAGTTGCTTTATATGCTAATCTCTCCCGGGCATTAACATAACAAAGAGAAAATGTGGGAACAAATTACCAAATAAAACTGCAGTAAGCCTGGCTGAAATTCAGGAGTATTTCAAACAGAGATTAAGTATGCCCCATGCAATATCCCAATGAGAAATGCATCTGTTATTTATCTGGAATTGTACTGAAATTAA